ACTATTCATTTCATTTATTGACTATTTTTTGTTAGTAATGATATTTTTTAACTTAAATAATAATCTTATAGTTGTAATAATAATTTTGTAATTATTACAACATAACAATATAATTTTATATATATTATTATGAAGTATATAATAAAATATAATAAAAATAATTTTAATTAAAGTTTGACAGTTCTATTGAATGAAGTTAGATTTCAAAAGTCGTGCACGTGATCTGTACTTAAGATATTTGCAAAAATTTCGGGTCTCGACCACTCTGTGGCAGCACTGAATGCCGGTCGAAACCTAAAACGGTAGAGCATTGCGCCGGTTGCTTCCAAAGTAGACTGTTTTTGAGAGGAATCACTCCGCCCTTTAGATCTCGTAAATTAATTCAAGATTTTCATTCACAATGTGCATTATTATTTGAATTTATTATCTTTTTAAGTGTCAATAATATGAAATAAACGTGAAGTGGAATATTTATCATTTAAACATTGGATAATGTTCTAAGAGTCAAAAAAAATTTTTGTTATTAAAAAAGCTACTTTAGAAGAAATATCAAACCAATGAGACAAAAAAGTATAAAATGATTGTGTAAATTTCTGAGTAAAGATTGATTCGTTATATAATAATTTTGTTCGTTGTATAATAACATTGTTAATTATGTTTTGTATAATTTAATTTATACAATTGATTCATTACATTGCAGATAAAAGTATGTAAATTTTCTGTGATAATTGCGCATTTGTTTATATATAATTCAGTTCCTCGTGTTATTTATATATTATTAAAGCCACATGTGCTTATTATGATGTTATTTATATGTATGTTTATTCATTGACTAATGCTACTTATTTCTTTGTTTTTATTATCACATATATATTATCACATTATTATAAAAAATATGAATGTAATTTGCTTGGAAAAGTTTATGGTTATTAGAAAAAAATTTATATATTTTTTTTTATGCAAAATTTATTATTTTTTATTCAAAAGTTATAAACATTTAATATTTCGAAATATTTAAGAACTGATTTTTTTTTATATATAGTTAAAATACATGTATAACCTCTATTTTCACATCTGTTATACTGATCTGGAAAATGTAACATAAACTTGGGCGTTGTTGGAATCGATTATCACGCCATTAAGGGAAATTCGCGGGGAAAATATATGATAGATTTTATATACAATTTCTTAAAAATATTGTGATTTCGTTGCAAATAATTATATATGATAATGTTAAGAAAGTTTTTCTAAAAACTGTTGCTTATAAATGATAGAATTTGAATCGTTAAAATAATAATATAATTAAAATAGAATAAGTAGATAAAAATTACTTAAATATTTTATTTATCTTTATTATATTAACAAAATAATAAATATAAATTTTTTTCAATAATTGTTGATGATTGTATTAATGTTAATCAAGTTATTTATTAATAATTTGTATAGAGAAAAGAAATAAGAGGTATTAATTAATGATATTATTATTTTGCTTACATTATGTATTTAATTATTAATTTATAATATTAATGGATATATACATTAATTAATTATAAGTAAATATAATCCCTATAACTGCACACTGAACAATTTATAGTGCGTGATTCCCGTGGGAAATCCGGTTGAAACATATGTATTTGTTATTTAGTTCCGTTGCTTGAAAAAGACCAGTAAAACTAAAATATTTAGGTATTACTATTGAGCTTAAATTATATTCAGTGTTATTATCTATGATATTTTCAATACTCGTTACATATTAAAAAATGTTTATACTGTTTTCTATTATAATTGTTACCATTAAAAAATATGATATTTAATTTAAAATAAAAACATAAAATTTTAAATTAATTATCAATACACATGTTTCACATTATGAGATTATTCATGTTGTGCAAGTTAATACTTTTTTTTTATTAATACAAAAACATTATCTTGATAAATTTTATCGCATTTTTCAAATCGATTGATTCGAACGGATCGATACTATCGATATAAACCGGCTGAAAAAACGATATCACGTGACATATTATCACTATTGTGTATCACTATTAGTTTGAAAGTATCAAAGTTCGGTAAGCACCGAAAACGTTTATTATTGATACAACGAAAATCTATAATCAATATTGACGATGTTTAAATGCTGTGTGTGCAACAAGAGCTCAAAAAAGGAGAAGTCGAATAGCGAAATGAAATCGACATCAAAGCAAAATCAAAAAGCGGTTGATTCGCAATTAGTTAATTCTGATTCCTTAAAAGTTGAAGAAAATGGATCGATCGAAGGAGAAAAAAAGCTGAACGGTAATATACAGAGATTTGAAAAAGTTTCTTCGTCGATGGAAAATAATAGTATGGAAATAATCGATGATTTAACTGTCAAAAGTCCATTACCTATCGGTAAGCGAGATGAGAATAATGATAATTCTCGATTACGAGTAGAATCAATAGAGAAATCGAATGATATTGACAATGATGATATAGAAAATGCGAGTGATCTAATAAATATAGAAAACAAAAATAGAGAAATAAACAGAATTAAAGATGCAAATAGAAATGAAAAAATAAAGGAAAATGATAATATAAGTGAAAATGATAATGGAAATAACGAGAATGGAGTGATGAAGGCAATATTAAATTCTGGAATCTCTGGTACTATTAAAACCAATCTTTATAACTCTTCCGCGTATATCGAGAGAACGATTGATGATGGACCAGAAGAGGAAGGTGATGATTCCGTTTTTGAAGCTTGTCCGAATGATACAAATAAAAAAACGCCGCCAGGTATATTTTCATTGCGGAGTTATAATACATGTATATGATGATTGATATATACATATTTAAATATGCAATTTGCTCACTTCATATTTCGTTTTCCTGTCACTTTTTTTGTTAAAATTTCTTTACTTGATTTATTTTATTAATATTATAAGTCAAATCATTTTATTTTTAATAAGAAGTATTATTTTTAATGAGATTTTATTTTAATTATTTTAAAATTATAATTTATTTGATAATTTATTTTTTTATTTATATAATATTTCGTTAATTCTTCAATCTTTTAGTTTAATCATTATACATATGTATTTATATATATTTATATTTATTTATATTATTATAATAATAATAATATTATTATTTGTTATATATAATATTATAATATAATTTATTTATATATATATAATTATTTTTTTTTATAAATATAATCTTGATCAAACTATTTTGAAATAACAAAAATATCAGATTTTATAAAATTTTTGTAAAATTTTTTATAAAATTAAAATTAAATAGTTGAAACTTATATATATTGAAAAGATGAATCGATTCATTCATCTTCTTTTATCTCTTTTAAGAAAATGTTAATTTCCATGACTTTATTATTATTTTATTATTTTCATTCAGAATTATTATTTTCATAGAATTGATTTTAAATTATGAATGGGGAAATTGCATTCATTGAATAACACATACCTAAATAGACGAAATATCTATATTCGGATATACAATGCGCAGTTTCATCAATTCCTCGGTGGCTTTCGGAAGAAGAAGATGGCGATTCAGAAGAATG